AGATAGGAGGACAGATAGCCACTCCACATCACTTTCTGAGAGGAAGTGCAAATATAGATTGTCACCTGCATTTTCCTCCCAAGAAACTGATAGCTTGTCTGTCATTCTCCTCTTGCCCCAGATTGTTTAGGCCATTTGGTCATGCCATATACATAATAACATGGAGTTACTCTCCATGATGAAACTGGATTGGTCTGACTACTTACTTCAATTTAAACCTTTAAGGATTCCATTTCAGTTGAAATAGAATGGTCATCGTAATTTAAAGAAATTGACAGTGACTCTTTCTAAGGGAGTTCTATTTCTATTATTGATATTACAGGCTTGGACTTAAAGATCAGCAAGAGAGAGAAATTGTTCATGTTCTCATTGACTGTTGCCTACAGGAGAAGACATATAACCCCTTCTATGCATATTTGGCTAACAAGTTTTGTGAATACAATAGAAGATTTCAGGTAAACTAAGATCTCTTCCTGTCATGTGGTACTATTTAAATTGAGATTCTTGTGTGTTTTCTATCATTAGAGATTTGTCACACTGGCTGTACAAATTTATTCCATCGTATAATACCACAGAAAAAGTCTCTCTGCCATGCCGTGATCTACTATATTTTTGAGAGAGACTGTCCATCCATTCAAGAACTCCTCCTAAACATTAAGAGCCAGGACCACCAAGTTCACTGTACAACTTTCTCTTATCGTAACTTAAAGCAAGATAAGGGTTTGGTTGTGCCAGGAAAATAGGATGTACCTGGAATGGGATTGATTCTCAGAAAACCCTACAGAAAAGAGACAGAATCACCAGGCAGGTGAAAGGGGGCTTTGCGCCCCCCCCCCTTCCCTCTCCCAAGACTTCCCTAGACCTGAAGCTTCAACCCCCCAGGCACCCTCTAAAGTTCCATCCCGCCCCGGATTCCTATGAGAACATTGCTGGCTGCTCCCCTTCATCAAGGAGTATGGGAAAGTGCACAGTCTGCTGCATTCCTCATTCTGACTTAGGAGTGCAGGAGTAAGACAAACCTGGATATGCACCCCTCCCTCTGCTGTGCCTGTGGTAACTGCAGTGGCCATGGAGAGGCACTTCTTACCTGACCCCAAGCTGCTGCGGTAAGAGAGAGCTGGGCTTGTCTTCTCTTCCCAGGGCAGCCTGCATACTGAACCCATCATCCCTAGCCCCACCCGAGGGTAGGGATGTCAACATGTAGACGATTACACAATTAACCTATAAACCTGGGCTTAATCTCTTAATCCTGTTGACTGCGCATTTTCCCCTCTTCCCCTTGCTGCCTCTGTAACAAGGCGGGGGACAGAGACAGGAGCTAATGCTTGTGAGGAGCCAGCTTTTAAGTCTGCTCCCCACAAGTACCAGATTGTGTGGAGTTGGCTACTCCCTTCCCGTGCTGCTGCCTCTCATAGAGAGGCAGCATCACGGAGGGTGAGGGAGGGCAGGCGGGAGCTGGTACACACAAGAATCCAGCTTTCAAGCTGGCTGCCTGCACTCTGCTGCTGTATCAGAGGCAGCAGCACAGGGCTGCAAGCAGGAGCCAGTCTGCACAGAGAGCTGGTGACTAAATGAACAAAATATGTAACTGCTGCAGCTTGTATTGCCTTTGTGGACAGAAAAAAATGGACCTTAAAATCGGTTGGTTAATCCTATATAAAGGATTATATATATGATCCTGTATTGATTTATAGTATAAAATAAATCAAGGTGAAGGCCCCTATCTTGAGGTACCTGGGAGTAGACCACTACATCCATTACAGAGCCCCATTTAATTTAGGGCTTAAGAAGGTATTTGTCCATGGAATTGGTGTAAGTAGGATAAATTATGTATTGCAGCTAGCTTGTCTATTTTGGTATCTTCCAAGATGTATTGCTTTTGGGTGGAAGAATTATATAAGAGAGGTTTGATAATGTTTGTACAAAAATGAACAACAAATAATAAAATAGATATGTTAAATGTGCTTTATTTTAAAGCCTTACATATAGATGTATATTTTAATTCCATGATTGCTAAATTCCTTTTCAGTTGCCTCTGCCTGAGATGGAGCAGTTTGTGCCTACCTAAGTACAGCTTCTACTTTTCTGGCCAGTTTTGGCCTTTAGCTGTATTTTATTATTCTATAATTAGTTTACTTTTTGTTCCTGGGTTTTTTGAGGGAGGTATTCAATTTTTCTTGATGGATTGGGGCTTGCCTCCCCTTTGTCCTCAGCATGTTCCTTCCTTAGGAATCCTCTCTTTCTTTTGTGGGGTGTATCTAGGTCGCCTCACTTGCCAGGAACCCTCCCCCGTGAATGACAACCATTTGTGCTATATCGGCTGAATCAAGGATACATATGCACCATCAAAGTGCAAAATTTGCACTAGCTTCAAGAGTTCCTCAAAGTAGTAGATAAAAAGCTTTTGCTCTTTATCACAGAGTGTTCTCTTCATCCTGCATCAGATTCGGGCTCACAATGCCTCACCACCACCACACGTGGACAGCAGCCTCTGAATGATCATAGTGCCCTGTCACCTTCAGTGGCTTGCTCCCTTCCAGGTCCTGCAGGAACAGATCTGCAAGTGAATCTGAAAAATCTTTCTCCAAGATGTGTGCCAGGTTTCTTCTAAAAGGTTTACCATGCTGGAGACCCTCCACCCTACAAAAGTGTCTTTAGAGGTCTCAGGTTGCTGGGTCAATTTATGCATCCAGCAGAGAAAGTCTAAAACAACTTTGTTCTTTATTCCCTGTCATATTTTCGTTTCCCTCAAATGGCAAAAGAATTCAGACAAAGCATGTTCAGATGTCCTCTTCAACCATCTTACCCTCCCCCCCGCCTCCTCTCCGCAGCTCACTTTTTAGTTTCCGACGTGGATCTCCTCTGAGGGGGAGCTCATCTTCAGGACCATAATTTCCAGTGCAGATGCTCTGCCCAATAGTCTACATTACATGTCAGTGTGGAACAGGCAGCTGTCAGACATGCCTGTCTGTACTACTTATCTGTGATTCAAGGCAATCATTTCACGTAATGACAGCGAATAGGGGTAGTATGTACTATATAAATTGGCAAGAAGTAGAGAGATTCCCTTCCCTATCTTCAGAGGCTATGAACTGATGCATAGCTTACAATATCCCAGTCTCCAAACACCATAGCCAACAGCTTCATAATCATGAGAGAGAGCTAGACAGATTCATACTCAAAACAGTTCTTAACCTGGTGATTTTCAAAAACATCTTTTTGCGATCACAGCTGATTAGAAATGTGCACATTTCCAGTTCAAGGAGAGGTTCGGGTTGCCAAGTCTCCAGGTAAATGCCTTTGTGCTGTCCTGGATGAAGAATCTCCTATACACATTTCACCAGCCCTCACTGATCCTCAAGGTCCTAAACATAGTCTAGTAGGACAAAGCCAGGGTCACAGTGATTGCATCAGCCAGGCTGAGTCAGGTTTGGCTTCCTTGCTTTTGTTGCTATTCCTTTTGATTAGCCGTCAGTCTTCGACTGACATCCAGTCTTCTCGCACAGGACTCAAGTAGTGTCCTTTAGCCCAATCTTAATACTTTGCAGCTCAGTAATTCTAGTTCTGAGAACGATCTTGCTCCACAGCAGTTCAGAAGATTCTGATAAATGGTACAACAGATACTATCTTCATAAATGGACAAGTGTTTTTTCCACTAGCGTACTCACCATAGTTTGTGTCCTATTGACTCCCTTCTTAGAAGAAAGCACAGTTGCATTAAAGTTCACAAAGCTGCTGTCACAGCATTCCATTTTCCAGTAAAAGATTTCTAGTCATTTGCTCATCTAGTAACATTATGATTTATAAAGTGTCTGTCAAACCACTTCAATAAGGTTAGACATCCTGTTCCCATTTGGGACTTTAATTTGCTTCTCGGTGCTTTGATAAGGTGACCCTTTTAATTGTTAATAACTTGCTCACTTATAAGTCTCTCCATGAAAACTACATTCTTAATGGCTATTACTTCTGTCTGAATGGTTGCAGAACTGGGAGCTTTAATGGCTAACCTTCCTTAGACTGTCTTTTTCCAAGATAAAATTTTTCTCTTCAGTCACATCCACACTTTTTTACCCGGCATTACTTCAGATTTGCATATATCATTCTATTGTTTACCTTTGGGTCTTCTACCTCAGGCCTCATAACAGGAAGCTGTCCTTCAGACCTTAGGTGTCAGGAGAGCATTGGCTTATTATTAGGTCAGGACTAGACCTTTATGACCCTTTCTGAGATGGGTTGTTTCAATGGTGTACAGAACTAAAAGGGTTCCAGTGACTATTTAAAGACTTGTAAATGGTTTTCTGGTTGCATACTCTCCTGTTATGTGGATAACATACCGTGCCTGTCTAAGGTTGTTGCTCATTCCGTGAGACTACTGTCTGTGGCCCTGCTAAAGGATGTGTCTGTGAATGGAAAAACGCAAAGCAACTGCATGGGCTTAGATTCACTCTTTCTCCAGACACTGCCTTCCTGGAAAGATCCTAACTTTGGCTCTCCTTTAGGGAGTACTGCTAATGAATCCTCTCACATAGAGCTCCCGTAGGAACACTATTCCAAGAAGAATGAGTAGTTCCTTTTTGTAAAATAACCGGAGTTCTTTAAGATGTGCCCCGTCAGTGCTTTGAGGGCTTTGAAGTGCAGAAGGAATTGAGGCAGTTTGTCTACACAGCTCTATGTATTCTTAGGGTGGAGCACAAGATTCATAGAGTGCAAACTGAATGGGCACTGTTGCTGAAAATCTCCAGTGGGAGCCACATGTACACCACCAGTAGAGGACCCAGAAGGATACATATCTCAAAGAACTCCAGTTACTGTACCATGTAAACCACGTCTCCATCATTGTGGCTTTCAGATGCTTTGCAAATCTTTAATAACCTTATTAAATAAGCTTAGTAAAGTGTTTTGTAGTTAGTACTGAATAGGTTTTGGAGCCTGCTGCGTATTGCATATTAATTATTTGACATGGACTTTAATTTTTATTTTCTTTTTGTTTTGACACCTAGATGACATTCCAGTTCAGTATATGGGACAAAATTCGAGATTTGGGAAACCTGTCATCTGTCACTTTCTCCAACCTGGTTTCTCTGTTGGCCCACTTGCTAAAGACAAAATCACTCTCCCTATCAGTCTTCAAGGTCAGCACAGTCTTCCCTGAAGTGTTTGTGCACTTCTACCTCATTTGTTAGTTTTATGTTAAATGTATGTGTTGTGTTCCTTGTTATCTATTCTGTATTACAGCTGCTTATTCAGTTTTGAAACAAACTATTCCATACTTCTTAGCGAATGTGAACTGCATTTGTCTGTTTCTTACAATTAGCCCTGTTCTAAAACTACCCCAAAGGTAGGGATCTGATTTACATTCATGCAAGTGTTGTTAATGACCAATTAGATTAGAGTAGATGTATTTATTAAAGAACTGTGGCCCAGTGGTTGGGGTAGTGATTTTCAACCAGCACTCGATGTGTCATTTGTGGCCCGTCAGCACACAGCTACAGCCCATGTAACACCCGCAGGGCCATACAGGTAGTATTTGATGTGTCCCAGAATGGTAAATAGGCTGAGAATCACTGAGGTAGTAGCCTGGGACTTTTAAGGCCCAGGTTAAAATCCGGACCCTGCCAGATTTCCTGTGCTACCCTGAACAAGTAACTTAATCTCTCTGTGCTACATCACCCATCTGTACAATATGGATAGTTTAGGTTGGACCTCCCTTGTCTGGCACCCTCAGGATCTGACTGGTCCCGAATAAGGGAGTTTGCTGGACCAGGGGACCATCCCTCTGCTGATGGGACTCCGGGCTCTCCCAGGGTCCATCAGCAGACCTAGTGTAGCTCCCTTGCCCCCAGGCTGCCAGCTCCCTGACCAGTCCCCACTGCCACAGCTCTGCTGCCCTGGGGCCATCAGGCTCTGCTCACCCTAGGGCTGCCACAGCTCCAATGCCCAGGGACTGCTGGGACTCCACTGTTCCAGGGCCGCCATGGCTCTCAGGCACCGACACTGCCACAGCTCCGGGGTGCTGGGGCTGCTATGGCTCTGAGGCTGCTGGGGAGTGGCTACTGGACTCGAATATCCTGGGGCCACCGCAACTTCCAAGCTCCAGTGCTGTTGGGGCATCGGGCCTCCTGCAGCAGCTGTGGCTTTGCTCTCCAGAGCCACCAGGACTCTGCTCCTTAGGGCCACCAGGACTTCTGCTGCTTCGCTACCCCAGGGCTGCTGGAGCTGCCATGGATCTGCTGCTCTAGAGCCACCGGGGACTCCATTCCTCTGTGCCGGGAGGGTTGCCGTGGTTCTAGGTCTGCTGCAGCCAACCCCATGGCCACCCCATCCTCTGTTCCAGGGGCTTTTTAGTCCAGCAATATCTATGGTCCTACCGGACCACGAATGTTGCCAAACCAGAGAGTCCCAGACAAGAGAGGTTCAACCTGTAGTACTTTTCTGCATTACAGAGGTGTTGTGAGATTAAATTAATTTTAAAAGATTGTGAGGCACTCATATACCTTAGTAATGGGAGTCACAGAAGTAATGTAGATGGATATCCAATAAGGATGTGAATGTGTAGTTGTTTACATGATTAATCAATAAACCTGGGCTCATCAGTTAATCCTAACAGTTACATGCAGCTCTGCTTCCCCCTCCCAGTACTGGCTCTTGTGGCTCTGATAAAGAGGCAGCTGAGGGGGGACGGGGCAGGCAGGAGCTGTTACACATGCGGAGCTGGCTCCCCTTGCATACCAGCTCCCATGTAGCTGCCTCCCAGTCAGGACAGTTGGGAAACAGCTTAAAAACCACATTCCCACGAGCACAGCTCCCGCCTGCTCTCCTGCATGTAAACGTGTGACCAGTGAATTTTACAGCCGCTACGTTTACAAAATTAAACACATTTTACCATCCCTAATGTTCAGAAAATAAACAGAATTTGGGCTATTGCACATGAGTAAATTATTATTTGTTCCTTCTTAAAAAAATAATTTGAGTTTAGGAAAATACACTTGTTTTACCTAACTTCATCTTGTCTTTACTGGTGGAATTTCACCCTCTAAGATGTGTTGGTGGAGTTACTGGCTATTTCCAACTAGATAGATACATGCTCATTATAACTGCTGAAAGCCAACAGTGAGCTTTGAAACCATTACTGTTAGGGATTGTTCCTGCTTTTCTTTGGGGAGGGCAAGATGCCAAACCACTTAAACAGTGGTTAAGACCTTGCTCAGAAAACCATCACCTGATACTAATGACCTTGACAATTACTTTCTTATCTTGAACCTTCATGTTTTGAGGAAGATTATTGGGAAGGCTGTGGGTGGAATATTAGTCACCTGGGTTCCACTGATTTCGTCAGCCTGGCCAACACCCAACTTTTGTAGTCATGTGACAATTTTTCTGAAATCTATTCCAGTACAACTTCTAGCATGGCTGCACTTACAATGGTATAAAGATGCCTTAAGCTAGTACAGCTTATTCCACTTTCCTTACAGCAAAGCCAGGTAGGATCCGGCTTGTAGGCCACATTCAGCCCACCAGGCTTTTTTTCATCTGGCCTGCCCGCTGCTGCGGCATGGAGCAGCACTGCTAACAGCGGATAGCTGCTCTCTGTGCTGCAGGAGGAGGTGGGAAAGCTTTGTGCACTGCCCTTACCCCCAGCAAAATCTCTCAGCTTCTGTTGGCTGGAAACCAGACAGTGGGAGCTGAGAGATTTTGCTGGGGACAGGGGCAGTGCACAAAGTCTCCCTCACTCAGTTGCAGTGCAGAGAGCCATGTGGAATAGCCAGCTGGGGGCTTTTGGCTGGGAACTGCTTAGGTAAGCACCTCCTGGCCAGAGCCTGCCTCTGACACCCCGTTCCCAACTCCCTCCCAGAGCCTGCAACCCTCCTACGCCCATCCCCCAAGTGAGAATCCTCTCCTGCACCCATTCCCCCTCCTGGACCACTTCCTTCTGCTGCTAACCTCCCATCCAGACTTCATATTCCCTCCATAAAAAAGTGCAGCCCTTGACTACTTACCAAAATCTTGGCGTGCTCCCCCATCAAAAATTATTTCCCACCCTGGCCGTACAGGAACAAGCTCTACTAACATAAGCAGCTTTTGTATTGCTATAACCACACCACACTAAGAGAGTTGGAGCACTTTAACTTTCATAAAGACAAGTCCTAATATCCTAATTCATTCAGTCTTAAGTCTGGTTATGGTACAGCCACAATATTAATATTTTTTAACATGGACAAAGAGTATGGTGCCTATGTTGATTTTTACTGGATCTGCCAGCAGCCTTTTGGGGCGTTCAGATATTGCAATGATGAGTGCTGTTACAATGTCTATAAATAAATACTTTCTTTAAAAGTATTGTTGTCCAAGTAGAACATAAGAATGGCCATACTGGGTCAGACCAAAGGTCCATCTAGCCCAGTATCCTGTCTACCAACAGTAGCCAGTGCCAGGCGTCCCGGGGGGGTGGACCGAAGACAATGGTGAAGCAAATTGTCTCCTGTCATCCTTCTCCAGCCTTTGACAAACAGGCCACGGGCACCATTCCTTTCCCCTTGGCTAATAGCCTTTTATGGACCTAACCTCCATTAATTTATCTAGCTCTCTTTTAAACTCTGTTATAGTCCTAGCCTTCACAGCCTCCTCTGGCAAGGAGTTCCACAGGTTGACTGTGAGCTATATGAAGAACTTTCTTTTATTAGTTTTAAACCTGCTACCTGTTAATTTTATTTGGCATCCTCTAGTTCTTATATTATGGGAACAAGTAAATAAATTTTCTTTATTCACCCTCTCCACACCACTCATGATTTTATATACCTCTATCATATCCCTCCTCAGCCTCCTCTTTTCTACACTGAAAAGTCCCAGTCTCTTTAGCCTCTCCTAATATAGGACCCATTCCAAACCCCTAACCATTTTAGTCGCTCTTTTCTGAACCTTTTCTAATGCCAGAATATCTTTTCTGAAGTGAGGAGACTACATCTATACGCAGTATTCAAGATGTGGGCATATTATAGTTTTATATAGGGGCAGTAAGATATTCTTCATCTTATTTTCTGTCCCTTTTTTTAATAATTCCTAGTATCCTATTTGCTTTTTTGACTGCCGCTGCACACTGCATGAACATTTTCAGAGAACAATCCATGATAATGCCAAGATCTCTTTCCTGATTAGTTGTAGCTAAATTAGCCCCCATTATATTGTATGTATAGTTGGGGTTAATTTTTCCAGTGTGCATTACTTTACACTTATCCACATTAAATTTCATTTGGCATTTTGTTGCCCAATCACTCAGTTTGGTGAGAGCTTTTTGAAGTTCTTCACAGTGCATCGTGTAGAGTTGTCCATTAAGTGTGTTTTGGATTGACCTTTGGATTCAGTTGGTCTTAAGTACTTTGAAGGTACCCATCTCTTTGTTGTCTGGTTGCCTTAGTATCAGCTGAAAATGAACAGGTTGTTCTTCGGTGGTTTCATTCCTTCTTGCGCAATTTTAGAAGATATCATTGAATGAGTGCTTGTCCAATTGAAGGGTACTCTCATGCAGTCCTAGATGCCACTGCAACAAGCATCGTAAATTATTGAATAAATGAGAAATAGTGAAGCATCCTAAGTATGTTAATTCTCTTAAAAAATTTTAAGAGGTCTTTAGTTTTAAGTCTAATGTTTGCTGTCTTATTAACTAGGTAGTGGAATTCAGTGAACTAGATAAACCTAAAGTTCATTTCTTGCGGCAAGTATTATATACGCTATTAATGAAAACAGACGTGGAAGAACTTACGAGCATTTTTGGAAGGTAAGTGATCAGTGAACTTCCCAGGGAACATTTGGTGAGTAGTGTTTGGACACACACATGGAATTTGCTTATTGTGTTTCTTTTAATTACCCATTGCTAATCCCAAGCACTAAATACCTCACTTCTTATAAGGTAAGCTCTTTGGGGAAAGGCCCATCTCTTATATATTTGTACAGCACCTGGCACAGTGCTGCTATGGTTTGTTGTCTATAGGTGATGCAGGTTGAACCTCTCTAATCCAGCATCCTTGCGACCTGTCCAGTGCTGAACCAGAGAATTTGCCAAACCACAGAAGGTCTAATATTGACTAGCAACATTACCTTACTTCCACTGTTTACTGGGCTCTGAGAAAACATGTAGGGATCTATTAGAGTTAAATAACAGCACAGAACACTGAGAACCAAGACTAGTGGCTGTAAACAAACTTTATGGGACCATGAGAAACTTGGCCACACACGATAGGTGTGACTAACTAAGATCTGGCTAACTAAAATCATGCCGGACTAGAGAGGTTCAACTTGTTGTACATTATAAATATATTATGGAATTTTGCATACAATATTAATTCAAAATTTGAAATACACTGTATGTCAACTGTCATTATCAAGCAAGAAAAATAAAAATGTTGATGCATGAAGCTGATATATCAGCCATCCTGAAAATCTTTACCCTTTGTGTGGAACTGGAATACACTCACATTTCTACATCATTTCCCTGTTGCTGAAGGAAAATGGAATCCATCAGGGCAAGTTAACTCTAGCATTGCAGCATCTTATCTAGAAATTGCCATCCTTCCTTATTAAGAGGGCAAGGGTTATTGACTGAACACCTTTTAAGGTAATCAAAGGAAATGTCTTAATCATGTTGGAATGGCTTAAAATTTAGGCATGAAACTTCCACTTGTATATCCAAAATGGATGACTGTGAAAAATTGTCTGACATTTGTTTGGTTTGGAACAGTGCTGAATAAGGGTTGCAGATAATCTGGAAAGTCTCATGGAAATGGTGCTATGTAAATATTTAATGGAAGAGATAATAGTGTATATTCTATGGAATCAGTTATTCCAAAACTATTAATAGATAAATGTTTACATATGTAAAGTATTGTCATGTACTGTCTTTCAAATTCTATTCCATCCATTCAGATGTGTGAGAGATTTGCCTTACATTTCTGACTATATCATAACTAATATCTTACATCTCTTAAAATACTTAAATTCCAAACTACTTTTGAGAAATGATTGCACATTGTGTTCAGCTGTTTGCCAAACTATTGCAGACCTGCAGTTGTTAATATTAAATAAAAAAAGTCAGGCTTTTCTTGAGAAATATTCACATTTTTTTTTCAAACCCTGACATAGCAAAACAGACTTCATAACAGTGTTCAGTTAGAAAGTAGAAAATTGGAATTATTTCTGATTTGTGTGTCTGTCTCTTTCAGGCTAGCTGACAACCCCAAATTAGGAATGTTGCGTGAAGGTTTAAAGCTTTTCCTTTCCCACTTTTTTCTGAAGAACGTACAAGCACACAAAAGCACTGAAGAAGCCAGCCTACTAAAAGAAAGAGTTGAACTAGTAAGCAGGACTATGCAAGCCAAAGAATCCAGATTAAAACTATAGTTTTAGTTTTCAAATAAGCTTATTTGAAAAATAAGGACTTGATGAAAGCACAAAGTTGATCCGGACAATGTTTTCACAAACCAAATACTTGAGATGCTGAGCAGAGTTATATTGCTGCAAAGGACCCCGTGTTTTGAGGTGATATAGGATTGTACACACCTAAAAATGGTTTGGAGCAAAACAGAAACATAGAATACTGACAGAGGAAAAAAGTATACATTTTTATACGTTTTTCATTGCTTGAAAAAGTTGTCTTCCCCATCCACCTCCACTCTGTATACCTTCAGGAGAGAGAGCTGAGCTTCCTTCAAAGTAGTGAATACCATGGACAGTTGGCAACTGGTCATGTTCAGAACCCCAAGTGTCTAGCCTTCCCAATTCCTGTAAGATCATGGGTTAAGATTGGGTTTGATATTCAAACCTGTTCACTTTTTTACAGAATAAATAAAACAAAATTTTGTTTCTGTGCTATATTATGGCCAATAGTCTATGATTTTAAAGTGAAAGCTTTTTAAATATAATCATATTATTAGTTGTAAAACAGGCCACCAGATGGTGCAGTCATTGGGGAACAAGTCTTGTAACTATACCCCAATTTTAAATAAAATTTGAATTTATTGACTGACTCTGACCTGTTTACATGCATCTATATCAGGGAAAGCTCTTTTGGTGTTTCCAAAACCTTGGTGATCTGACTGAAGATGTAACTTGTTCAGTTATATGGTGTTTAAATATCCCAGTGTAATTTATGCTTATATTTTAACCTAATTGCCTAGTGTAATTTTATTTGCTTTATGGTGTTGTTTTGCTGACTTCTAGGTTTAAAATTTTTCCAGCTTTTTACTATTTAAGATATAATCAAACTTTTTAATTCAGATTTTACTATAAATTCTACTTTACTATTAACAGAATACAAGCAATAGCTGTCAGTTCAATATCAGGCTTTCAAATAATCTTTCAAAAGCGAATACTTCATTTAATACCTTCTCTACTACCCATCCAGCTGTTTGAAGGTCCTCATAATTTTCTTTGCATAACAGCTCATCTTGTGTGGACAGGGTGAAGTATACTATTTATAGTATACTAGAAAATTTACCTGGCATTTCTTGAGTCCTTAGTTCATTTTTGTTTTTCTTCATTTAAATCATTGCTCTGGGGTGGTACTTGGGATCAGGAGTTCAGGTTTCCCTGGGAGGAGAGGACTACTCAGGCCTCTCTCCCCACAGCAGTTTGTGGCCAGGTGAGAAGCACCTCTTCATGGCTGCTGCAGCTTGAGCGAGCACAGGAGAGATGTCTCTCCCCTGTCTGGGGTAGGTTCAGGTTTGTCTGTCCCCTGGACTCCTCAGCCAAATTGCAGAATGAAGCAAACTGTACTTGTCCTTTGCTACCTGGTAGACTACAGCCAGCAATGTTCCCATACAAATCAAGGTGGGAAGCTGTATCTCTCCCCTGCCCTCAATAATGGCATTTTTATGTTAGGAAATGATTTCAAAATAACTAAATTGGAAATAACTATTTTGAAATAAGCTTATTCCCCAAAGAAAGCAGGAATACATATTTCAAAATAACCAGCCCCTTAGTGTGGACGCTCTGCTTATTTCAAAATAAGAGGAGGTTATTTCAAAATAACTCCCTAGAGTAGACAAGGGTTTAAGGGCACCTGGGGGGTGGGAGGCTGAGGGTTAAGGCAGTCCTGGATTGGGGGGAACAACCCAACCAGTTCCTTTTACCTGTCTGAAGATTCCAGCTATTTTCTGTATGCTATTTTGCATCCCTGTGTGCATGGGGGAGGGGCCTACACAATCAAATCCTTACCCTGCTTTACGTTATAAGAGGAAACTACATATTGAATTTTGTGGTCCTAACAACATTCTCTCAGCCACGCTTTCAAATGCATAGTAGATCTTGTTTGCAGTATTGTTGTAGTTATATCGGTCCCAGGATATTAGCAAGGCATGGTGCTACGGTAATATGTTGGTCCAATAAAGCTTTCAAGCTGCACAGAGTCCTTCTTCAGGTCTGAGCATGATATTCACAGCTAAATTCAAAGTGAAACAGATCAACTCAAGTGTCATCAGGTCCTGTCACAACCAGTATGAAACCTACAGATATATCTCCACTGGTATACTGGGCAACATTCCATACACCTTTCAAGAGCCATGGGTCCTACACATGCCTACTACAATAAGTAGAGGTCTTTATCCAGTGCATCAAGTGCCCCTGACAAGTGAATGGTTGAAACCTGATAATTACTGTGCTCTCAAATGAACACACAGCAAAATAAGACCAAAATCCCATGTCACTGGTTGGTGAGCGCTTTTCTCAAAATGATCGCTCAATTTTTGACCTCCCAATCCTTCCTGTCAAAGGAAACCAGCACAACACTTTCAAAAGATGAGCCTGGGAGCTAAGTCATAAATTTACTAGACACTTAAAACCATGATCTTAATAAAGATACTGGATTTATAGTTTATTACAACAATCTGTAAGCTGCTCCGTCCCCTTTTTTGTTCTATGACTGCAAGAGTGTAAACTGGCCACTTCACCTTGAAAGGTGTCTCACCATATTTATTATTTTTTATTATAAACAATCTGTTCCATTGTGTAGTTAGCTGTGACAATGAGAAGAGATCTGTGTAGCTCAAAAGCTTGTCTTTCACCAATACAAGGGTCCACTAAAGATATTATCTCACTCACCTTGTGTCGTTTATATTGCATCTTACAAATGTCAGATAAAACTATAGTTTACTTCTAGTAAAGTATTTCATTTTTGTGCCAAAAAACAAATATTATTCTTCACCATTAGGCTGGATTGATGGCTTAGTGATCTAAACCTATGTTTTAAACAGACTCCTTAAAACCAGCCCCCAGATACTATAGCAGTGCATATGCAAATAAATATCAGTAGGATGAACCCAATCCTTCTGCCTACAGGTGTAAACAAAGAATGTGTTATGACGTTTATAGTGCTAATTTATTCTGAATATCCATAATGTCTGGTACTGTAAAGACACAGTCCCTGCCCCCAAGGAGCTTATTGTCTAGCAACACAAATTTCATTTCAACTCTATAGGGAGTTCTGGTGTTTGAAGGTGCATGTCTGCTCTCTGAAAGCTAAAGATTCCATAGTGCTTTTATGGAAGGACTGGGCATACTCATAAAATGCCCTTCTGCTCTCCTGGAAATACTGAATTGTCTCTTTGATGCTTGATAAAATGCTTTGGGATTTGTTACACAATATTTTAGTTACTACTTAATCCCTCTAATTTATCGGGTGGGGGGGGAGGTTATCCCTTAGATTTGCCTCTGTCCAAAGAATTTGTTTCTAGCCAAGAGCCCAGCATAAATGTGTTTCATTGCAGTTGGTGCCCAATAGAGTCACACTAGAAGAAAATGTTGATTTTTTTTCCCCCTCCACAGTGTGTCATTATTGAGGTGGTTATTGCCTTCCTTTGGGAAGGGCAAGATGCATGGAGCAGTGGACAAAGAAAATCAAAGAGACAATCATCTTAGTATTGTCATAGATAACACCTATAATATCTAAAAGAGAGAAATAGTTTTTGCTTTCTTTAGTGTAAGCTATTGGTGGTACTTTGTATAGTAATTTCCCTGTATAATCTGTCCATTGCCTCTTTTGCTTATATGGGTCTTTCATGCAACAACAGATGAGGGGAAAAAAATCTTAAAACAGGAAGATGTGACTGCAGCCACAAAATTGGCAGGGACACTTAGAGCCATTGAAGTGCCTCAGTAATTTCAAGCTGAAGGCATCCCTTTAGCACAGACGTGCTGTCAAATGCTGGGATGCATATATTTCCCTTGGGCGTGACAATGTCAAATCACCGTTCCTGCAGCTGGAGTTGCACTGACATAAAACTGGTATAAGTGTAGAGAGATTCAAGCTGCTGTAAAATGCATGGAATTGAGTTAAGTACAAAAGCACTCAATTTAAGCCACAGCAACTGCGTATTAATTTCTTTGCTTTGGGGATGGGCTGAGGGAAAATGAGACCTCAGAACATTATTTTAACTTATTTGTGGTTTAATATGAAATGAACCCATAAATGAAAACAAACATCATTCTAGCTGGTGTTGGTCAGAAATGCAGGACAACTTTTGTTTTTAAAAAATAAAATTAAAATGTCCCCCTTTAAAAAAATCTAAATGTGACCGGTTGTTACTTCCTTGTCCAGTTATTCTATCTGTAGTCAAAAGTGAATATCCTCCATTGCCAATGGAAATGTTGCCTAGCCTTTTATGGTTCTCAATATATTAATTTGTTGCAGTTGCCAGAGGCACATTTGCTACAGCAATTAAGGGTTCTGGTTTTAACCTTACAGTTTAAAATTACAATCGTTTTTTTGTTTTTTTTATAACTGAGACTTGCCTTTCCTGAACTATCATTTATCATACAGAACTGATGTTTGCCTTTGATACAGTGTAGCTGCTGCTGCTTTTACCAGCAAGAATCTGTTGACCCTCCAACTTTTGGATTTTTGTCAACAAACATGTCGGTGTGGCATATTTTAAGACATTCTGAAAATAAGAATCTGCAGGGGAAGTTGCTGAAATATTGTGCTGTTCCACATTCAATGCTCAGAGAACAAAAAATGTGACCTTCAGAGAATTTGACCAAATACTATGAGCCGGTCGGTGAAAGAAATCATATAAGATTTAAAAGTTCTACAATATAGGTATATCTTAAGCCCTGTATGTTGCATGCAGTTTAATGTAGGGCTTTTCATAGTCCCAGTGGTAAGATTGCTACCTCATACTGAGGGGAGTAGCTTTTAGAATGGTTGTTGACATGTCCAGGCCCATGCACATTAATTTACCTGCTGCATGCTGCCAGTTCTATGTTCTGATATTGTCCCAAGCATTGAATGAAATTCTGAAAAGGAAAATGATGAATTGAAAAAAAAAACTTCTTCCCAGCAAAGCTAACTATGTCATAGCACCTCCTCTTTGTAAGAGTTCTCTCTGATATTAGTGAAATAGTGTCTCTCTCTAAAATGACACCAGCAGGAGTTTGCCATGGAAGTTATATATCCTTCAGCACTTTCCTTCCATTTTGTACATCACAGAATATGTCTTCACTAATTTTTAAATATTGCAGTATTTAACACCTGCTACCTCTAGTCAAAGTAAAACTGAGAAATGTTTCCTATTAATTCTAACAAAACAAAATGGCTTTTTAATAAAATGGCCAAAATCTTTTCTGAGGGGCTACAGGTTTTATTATTCCATGAATAAGATATGATATTCAGAGTAATGGAAAATACAGTATATTGGAAAACCATACAGCTATTGTAATTCTGGCACTTACACCTGAAAAACTAATGGAAAATATGGTGTGATTTGCTTTAGCTGGACTCTAGAAGTAAGTGTGATGTTTCATTGTTAGATATATTACAGAATATTTCAGTTCTTCAGTCCAGGTAGTATAAGCCACACAGATCAATTATCAACATTTCAGTCTCTTTTTAAAGTGGGCATTGAGGTTTTCGACCATTTTCCTGTTTTTTGTATCAAAATTAACAGGACAATAAAGTCAGTTTTCCAGCTTTAGCTGGAGTGCTGCACTGATAAATCATCTGCAAATCCATTTGGCAGGTTTTAACAC